GAACATTGGCGTGCGGAATTATTAAACTTTGTCATCCCTTAAAGTAGTGTAGTGAGTTGATAAAATAAATATTAGCATTTTTCATGTCATTTGACTCGTTATAATTGATTAAATATAGATATTAATTAATAAGAAAAAAATCACACTACGAAATAAGTGTAGCTCTTTGAGGGATAAGCTCGCCTTGAAGTTTTCTTTAGGCTTTTATACTTGATCTTTGCGTGAAGATTTTATTGAAACTTTCTACACTCTAAATGTAAAATTGCTTTTTTTGTTCCTAATAAAGCACAGGATATTATATTTTACAATATTAATATACCAGGAAGTTAATCGAGCTTTAGAAAATGAGGAAAACAATAAATTTACGTTTTTGAGTTTATTATGAACGTTTTAAGCATATTTACTAATGCACAATAGTAATACTTTATAAAGTAATTTTCTTAATATAAATATCTAATACAAGTTAATAATAAATGTGATATTAAACAAGTATAATAAAGTTCCATTTTCACTACAGTTGATTGCTTAATTCAGTTAACAGGATTGTACCCCGAGGGAAAATATTATATTAGCTATATTAAAGGACAATATTCCTAGAGCAACTTAAACCATCGTAAATTGTCTGCTTTATTTCGTTGTATCTGAAACTTAATATTCAAATTAATATATTTTCAGCTTACGCTAGATTTATGGGGACATTCACACCTTATATTTCGTACACTGTAGACATAAACATGCTGTAATAAGTTGTAAAGCATTTTCCCTTTGACCCTATAAAACTCTTTGTAGTACGACTTTGTAGAATTACATGTTTTAATAGTAAATAATTTGCTTTATTGATAATTATCGAAATTTTCATTTATATTCCTTAGTGTAATATAAAGTTCAAAAATTCAATGTGAGTAGTTCTACCAGTGAACTAAAATATAACTAAGTAACACTGAATAGTGCCCTTCAGCAGTGGAAATGTAGGAAAAGAAAGGTTTCTAAGTTGCAAGCATCGAAATTGCGGCCTACGTAGTAATTAATCGATCCCGTCAGAATATACAATTTTACATAATAAATTCTGTGACTGTTTAAAATATCTTAATTTGGGACTAATAAGTTTTGTATGTTATTTATCTCTTTATGCAAACTTTGAAGCTTTCTCGTTAGTCGAGTCTAGTTGAAGTTGAAGGGCAGAGGGTGTCCCGTTTACTTGTTTTACAGCACGCGGGTAACATAACCTATAACAAATAATTTTCAAATTTATATCGAAGGTAATATTTTGAAAACCTCTCTAATAAATGTTACAGAGAGCATTTTATTATTTGAATTAATATTTAACAAACTATTATAACATGTATGTATATTATAATCTGATACGATCAATTGTATATGATGCTAATTTATTATTATAATTCATTTGTAATATATCAAAACAGAGAACATGAAAGGCATCCCATTGCTATGTTTTAATTAGAGCTTATCATTAACAAAGTATTAAATCCAATGTTCCAAAGTTTAATGTTTTAGCTTTAAATTGAAATTGATAATTTCGAAAATTTTAAATTAAAAAGCTTTGTTTCAGATTAAATTAATGCTTATTAAATACCTAGTGATATTTTTACTTAAAAAAATGAATATAAATTTAATCTTAATGTCTGGGGAGGAAAGTAGTTATTTATTCGCGTCAATTTGTGTCAGTATCTAAGTCAGCTTTTTTATGTATGTAATAAATATGTATATAAATTATAAGGAGAAAATTTCATTTCTTATGAATACAAATGTACCATAAACCTGTTTTGGAATATATCTGTTATTGCGAAGGTCACAAAATACAATATATGCAATAATTTCGCGAGAGGTTAGAAAAGACCGACTGATAGAAAAATTATGCATTTATACAGGTTACTATTTAAATAATATAACTATCTGAGTTTCTTTTTTACCGTCCTTCACGAAACTCAGGCAAGTTTAATTTTGCAATAATATAAATTCATTTTTTACAACATTTCGTTTAATAGGAAAACAAAAATTTACCTATTTATTTTTCATAATAGATATAATATTATATCTAAAGGACAGGCAATTTAAATTACGAGTTATAATATATAGATTTGATTTTCTTCTAACATGATAACCTTGGTGAAATCGTATAAGAAATATGTACATAACGATTCCAAATTGTGATTTCTCTTGTGTAGATGCAGTATTATTTTATTACTCACGTCTTTGCATATGATTGTTTTAATGTGTTGTTTCTTTAAATGTCGTATTGAATTAAGATTTTTTTATGTTGGCTTTCATTAAATAGGTACCCATCTTTGTAGATTGTCCTTAATTAAACGCTCATTATCAGATTTATAGTCGTAATAAGTCGCTTAAATAGCAGTCATATAGTATTTACGTATTAAGTAGGTGAAGTTTATATTAAAAAAAAACGTGTGTGTGTTCTTATGTATGCACGTAAGAACATAAATATGTTGGGACATTAACACACAGTACCATCTAGTTCCATGGTAAGCTACGAGGCCTGTGTTATGGATAGCAGATAGTTAATACACTACATATATATACATATATATATATATATATATATATATATATATATATATATATATAACTTTAAATATATACATATTATAAATATAAACACCCATGACTGGAGTACAAACATTCTTGCTCATCACAAATGAATGCCTCCAGCGGGACTCGAACCCGCGACCGCTGGCACGGCACTACAAATTGAGCCAAACGTATCGTCAAAGTAAGAAGTTATACTTCAAACAAAAATAGCTAAAGATTTCATCCCGTATATCCCAACTCTGTAAAAGGAATGCTGCTAAGTTCATCATGTACGCGCGCATCGTAAAATTTTTTCTCTCATATTTTTTTCCAAATGTTCCAAAAGCGATATAAATTCAAAAAGCGACTAACCCTCGGTTCGTTTGGGTTCGTCCCAAGCTACGTTTTAACTTTTAACGGTTATTATATATTTCTCAGAGATGAGATATTTTCCCGCAGTATAAAGTATTCTTTATGTTGACCCGAGTCACCAGCTATCATCATACCAAATTTCATCAAAATCTGTCCAGTGCTCTTCTCGTGATGTGTTCCCAGACAGACAGACAAAAATTCTAAAAACTATACAACTGTATCGATAATTATGACTATTTCAATAAGATTTAGCAAAAAATATTTAATGTACAGATTCGACTCAGTTAGAATTTTATTATATGTATAGGTTAAGGAATGTAGTTTATTTGTTAAGTTGATCAAAAAAGTAATTTAAAGTCAAATGGAAGACATTTTCAGGTGAAGACTCAAACTAATCAAGCTTGCAAACTGACATTGTTAGTCATTGTTCCCATTTCAACATCATTCAATTTAATTGCTGTAATAACCTATAAGTACAGAACAATGCACGTAATGCACGCAACTGTTTTGAATATAATTAGTTGTAAGCCAGCGATTGGCCTTCATTGTCATTTATTTTTTCATAGCTTCATTTTATAATGATTAGGAATAATATAATATGAATATTGTTTCATAGTAATAAATAAATTTTCATTAATGTAATTCACAAGAGAAAATAAGATTAGCGCATGTAATCCCGAAAAAGCCTCTCTACTAGATACTCTATCAAAAAGTTTCTACAGAAATATATTGAAACGATTAATCATCATTATTTAGCCTGCGTAAAATGTTTATAAAAATATAAGTGGATCAAGGTATCCACAAATGATAAACTATTAAAATTAGAACTGTTACTGTCTAGTTTAAGTTTTAAGCGGTGCTGTAAACTGCGTTCGTTAGTTCAAAAAACATCCATAAGGGAAGCCTAATTGGTATTTTGTTGTGACTTATCAGATAAGTTTGAATAATATTTTAAATAAAGTATCCGATAAAAACTTTTTAACAAAAAAATAAAAACCGACTTCAAACAAAAGCACTAAAAAGTAATAAATAACTGATTGGTAGTTTTCATTTACTATACATACCTAATCAAATATTTTCGAAGTCGGTGTGCTTTGCTTTGTATGGGCTGGCACCGATTTCGAAAATATTGGATTAGGTATGTATTTAATAGGTAGGCTTTAATTACTTAGCCAAAGCACACCGACTTCGAAAATATTTGATTAGGTATGTATAGTAAATGAAAACTACCAATCAGTTATTTATTACTTTTTAGTGCTTTTGTTTGAAGTCGGTTTTTATTTTTTTGTTAAAAAGTTTTTATTTTTCCCTTTTTAGTGTAGACAGTAGTAGAAAAGTAAGGATTCTAACGTGTTAGGCTTGTCAAATCAAACAAAATAAGCCCAAACTCAAAGTATCTACTATTAGCCGTTGAAGAGTTCCACCATCCACCTTCTGGCCTTGCCATCAGATCAGGTCAACAACACCGAACTACTGTACTATCAACGGAAATAGAAATACTTGCAAAGTTTCAAGTCAATATGACAATTAGAAGTAGGTTAAATTCATCATTCGTTGTTTTTCCACCCTTAGGGGTGGTATTTTTTTTTGAAATTTAAATGGGACCAATCTGGAAGTATACCCTTTCAAACGACATAAAAATTGATTAATATCGACATAGAAATCGGTTAATAAATGACGGAGTTCTGAGGTAACAAACATAAAAAAAAAAAAAAAAAAAAAAAAAAAACATACAGTCGAATTGAGAACCTCCTCCTTTTTGAAGTCGGTTGAAAATGATATAAAAAACAATAAATAATTTTTATATTTTTAATAGTTTAATATCTTAAATTAACTTAAAATTCACTATTTAATACTAATCATAGTCTCATTTTATATATATTATCTGTCGATCAATCTTATAAATGTTGTCACATAACAGAATAACTTGAGCATTTGATCACAGCCACTTAACGCCATATAAACAATATAACCATAAACTCCAGACACAAAGTGTATGCGCTAGAGATGCTCTTCTTCTGTTACTTAGCGTTAGTGTAACCTTGACATTTACTCGTGCACTGGACAGACCGCGAATATTAGCCCCAGCGGCGAAAACGGTTGTTTCTCACTACGGGAAGGTAGGGATACCTAGCGGGCACATTCACGTTTTCAAGGTTGTAGCCCCGTCGGTGTCTCACAAGTTCTCCATCTTCGAATTTTTTAACAGGCTTCACTATCTTAACTACGTTAGATTCTAATATGACATTGTCAACAACGGCGTCCTCCGGTCTGAGCCTTGTAATTAGCTTAACTCTGTTCTTTTGCGAGTTGAGATAATCGTCACTGAGCACATAATCCAGTAGCTTCGGCACTTGGTTGTATCTAGTATCTATCACTCTCTCGTAGCCAAGACGTGAAAGAGGAGCTGGCGCGGTAAGTGCGGACGCTGCAAGCGAAACGAGCGCGAGGTACGCGTACATGTTGCGGCGTGAGTCGAGTGTTTGAGCCGCGCGCGCCCACAACACATTTTATATAAGTATGCGAGCGATCGCACCATTCGTTCCTAATTTGAGTACCTACATATTTTTTGTATTCTTTTTAAACGAGGCGTTCTTGAACTTGGTAGGGTAATTGATCGGAGATGCAACATGGAGCGCTCGTGGCGAGGCCTTGGATTGGTACGCTCTGGGTAGCCACGTTTTCGATACATCTTATTTTTTATTAGCAAAAAATATATTAAGCTGAGAACATTCATAAGCCTCGTTCTACTTTAACTTGTACACAGGGCGGCCATCACCCGGGTGCAGTTGGCATAGATTATATCACACCTCACCTCTAACGTGGATTTGCAGTCATGAGTTATGATTTAATTATTTGTTTACTCGTTTTACTCTAACGCATTAGGAATAAAGATTGGAGTGGTTTCTTAATGCCGTGTTTTTTTATTAATAGTTTATTTACTTCAATATCAATTCGTTATGCATTGAACAGATGTCTGTATTATATAGTCGAATGTAAACAAATAAATAATGGTCGTAACCTGTTATACGGATGACATTATCCTTGTTGGTATTCAAGGATCCTCGGAGTCAAATTACAGGTCTCAGAACTGCGTGACAATTAGCCTGCTTACAATATATTAGAGAAATGTATATGTTTGTTTTATGTCGTTTTTTTTCAAATAGTAAAGACAATATATCAGTCATGCATATCATGACACATACGTGGAGCATACAAATGTTGATTTTTCCCTCTCAAAAATGAGAAGAAAAAAGCTATGGCGATTTATTATTGCATATTTAATTAAATATTATCTAATACATAGCTTTTTACGTACTTTAAAGTTAGTTAAAGTAGCGAGAATGGAGAAAACTATGCAAATTTTTTTGTAGTTACGTTGAATAAAAACGTCTTGCTAAATAAATATAATGATAGCATTGTTGTGTGTCGTGTTCAAAATATATTGTTTTTGTTTTATTTAGTTTTTGCGATGCTCGCACTTATTTTTTTGGAAGTAGGATTTAGAGATTAGAAATATTTTTTGGATAATCTTATTGAAATAAACATTAGTTTTTGGAATTTTGGTCTGTCTGTATGTCTGTTACCGCATCACAGAAAAACCACTGGAGGGATTTTGATGAAATTTGGTATGGTGATAGCTGGTTATCCGGATCAACATATAGGATACTTTTTCGCGCAGAAAATGTCTCATTTTTAAGAAAAAATACAAAAACTGCAATGTAAGAGTATACTAATATGTAAAACCTAACAATTTGGTTATCGGTCATTTGAACGCGGGCGGAGCCGCGGGCAATGCTACACTAAATACATATATATTTAATGACGTCTTAGATTAGACCTAATGAAATCGATGAAAAGATTTTTATGTAACATAACAAACAACATATATTAAGATGTCATGAGTAGGCACATACATTATAACGTTAATCGTCACCAAGTGAAGGATTGCTTTGTTTTCTGTGTGCTCATTGCTCATCTCAATTACATATTTACGGAACTGTACATGATTTTTCAAGGATTCGGATAACTACAAATAGTCATTTACAAGCGGATTTTAACTTGTGTATACATTCTGCGAGAACTTCTTTAATTGGAACATGAGCTTTACAAGTGCCTCGTCACAAACAATATAATAACAATATAATTGTGTAATCTTGAGCTTTGAACTTATTTCTTTAACTACCAGTTCTATCGTCAAACTACCAGTTTTAATATTCATGTAACGTTATTCTATAATGGATGGCCGACTGAAGCCAACCCGCATCATACGGAACTGAAAATACGAGGTCGTCTTCAAAATGTACATAGAAAATCAGAATACAGGAAGCTAATGGAGCCGTCGAAATGACCTTTCGAAATAAATCTTGTCAGTAATTAACATAAAACGTCTTTGTAGGTTCTTGATGGTAACTCGGCTCGTTTTTGTTAAACTTGAATACAAAACTTTCTATGATCACTTTCTAATTTTCTTTCCGATATGAAAATAAATTTCTAAATCAAATATTATAATATGTTTAATATGTATTAAAGAAACTGGATATACGACAAAAATATGTTTAAAAGATTACAAGTTTTACTGGCTTGTTTTATTTTTTTAATGTGAACACTAAAATTTCTTATCATGCTTTAGTATCCGGTTAAAATTATCAGCAATTAAAGAATCTCAAAGCTATTTTATTAATTTAATGGAAAATGTACTGATTAAGTTTCGTATGTGTTTCAAAACGGAAATGTGTTAATACCAAAGGAAGTTCATTATTAAACTTGTTGAAAATTAATTTCAATAGTAAACTTGAATTGTATAGTTGGTAAGCCGCTTTAGAGAGCTGGGGCAAATATCGAGTTTATGTCTCGTGTCTACGACTCTATTATTATGATAGATTTTTTATATAATCATGTCAATATTATCACAAATAACACAGAAAAATACATTATTATTTATTGTTTAATTTATTATGTATTTGCCTGCGGCTCCGTACTCATGATAAAAAGTCTTTGAAAAATTTCATCAAAAGTAGCTCAGCAGTTTATGAGTGAAGACTGAAAACGTAACGAACAGGCAGACAGGTTGCTTTCACATTTATGATATTAGTATGGTGTCTTGTTCTTAAAAAGATTTTCATACCAGACTAACCCCACAGAAGCCACGAGGATGTGGTTGCTAACTTTGAGTAAAAATTTAAGTCAATCCCTTACTTTGTTTTTGCATGAAAGAAAGACACTTTCATTCGAAACTTGATAAAATAAAGGTTATAAATACCTCATTAGATATTTTAATGAAATAAATAATATATTTATGTAGTAATTTATATTTAGGCAGTGGTAGCCCAGTGGTAACGCGCTCGCTTGGGAAACCGAGTGAAGCGAGTTTAAATCCCGGGTCTCGCACCTCTGATATTTTCATGTGCGAATAATTTTCTTTCTTAACGGTGAAGGAAAACATCGTGAGGAAACCCGCATGTCTGAGAGAATCTATTATTATTATTGTGTCGACCAGAGAGAATCTAACAAGGTTTCAAAAAACCCGCACTTGGCCAGCGTGGTGGACTATTGGCCTCCCCCGTACTGAAGGGAGGCCCGTGCCCAGCAGTGGGACGTTAAAAAGGGCTGAATAAGTACAACTTATATTTACGTAAAGTAATTAGTATTTCCAACGTACAAACGTCGTAACGTCTAAAATTTAGATGATGATATCGACCCATGTATTTCAATTAAGCACACAAAATCTACCTAGAACCGGTTCCGATCACAAGATTAAAAGATTGTAATTATCTGACAAAGGCTTGGATCTACGGGAGTTCTTATCGATCGAAACTGTTATAAAAAGTGTCATTGGATTGAATATCTGTCCGTATATTTATTACGTCTATTCGTAGTTCTTTTAACATAATTTTAAAATTATACAAGAGTTCAATCTGACAAGTGACATATAATATGAATTTGATAGTAACAAAAGATTTTACAATGTAATAAGTAGTAGCAATGCGTACTAACATAATACATATATTGAAGGACATTTGCTTGTGGACAATATGAAGAGCGATACCTCTTCCGTGATTTTATTTCGTTCCGCATTAATCAATGTAGCACAGTGTGAATATTAATTTACTTAAGCAATATGTTAGATATTGAAAAAATTAGAAGGTATCAAGGCTACAAATACACATTTGGATAATAATCATAATAATAAATCGTGCACTAATGTTTTTTAGAGACTATATATTTTTTGCTTAATCTGCGGCGAGTGGTGAGAATAGAACTAAGATGTTAATTATATTTTAAAATAGGGGAAAATCGTGAGTCTATTAAATAAGCATATCAATAAAGATTATAACGTTATTGCATAATATATATACCACGAATGCCTATATAATGTCATATTTATTTTATTGATACTTATTTTGTCACGTTTGGAAAAAAAATATGAGAGTAAAATTTTTACGATGAGCGCGTACATCGACAGCCAAAAATCAACATGATGAAGTTAGCTGCATTCTTTTTACAAACAGAGAGTTGTGGCATACGGGATGACATCTTTAGCTATTTTTGTTCTGTTACTCCAAAAAATTGGTATAACTTCGTACGTGCGTTCACACACACGGTTTGTTTTAAATAAAACTTTTACTTTATACATAAGATTAGATAAACAAAGTTACTCATTGAAAGATATACCTACTTTTTTATTTGGGTGTTTTTTTGTGTCGTGTCCTCGCTTCTCGCGCACTCGTCAGGTCATTGCTTTCTGATCGTTTTTCATCTCCAAGCAATGTGAATACGCGCTGCGTTTGCTCAACATTGATTGCATTATTCATAATAACATCACTTGCTATGTCTGTTATATTGTGTTTTATTTAAGTATGCATTTTTAAAGATTATATACATGTTTTACAATTTTATTAAATGCAGAAATAAAAATTGTTTAACTTACATGATACAAAAATATCTTAACTTAAAAAGAAGATGTGCCATAAGTTTATTTTAACGTGGACGGTCCAAAAGCATACGATATTATATATTATACACTTTATCAAATTGATTTTTTTCTTTAGCAGAGACAATGGGAATCTTCGGACGAACAGATGAATCCACCCCGCGAGATGCGCATCCACGTTCAACGTATCTTTGGCATCCCAGCTCCTCAGAACATGCCGCCTCATCTCGAGAACATGGGACAGTTCGCGCCTCCTCCACCACCACCCCAGCCCCAAGAACAGAACGAGGTAAACTATAAATGATGTAGTTTCATATATACTTTTAGTGAATAGTTATTTTTTACAGCAATTATAATCTCGAAAATTGGATCTTTTTAAAAAATTTTGCTAGGAAACACATTTACATGTTTTTTAATCCGAAAGGTAATTTCTATATTGTCTCTTGGTTCTATTATTAATATATATATAATAGCAATCAAAAAAATATTAATCTTAAAATTATAACGTTTATTATTAACTAGCGTGAGCAAGAAGAAATGATGGCACCCCGTCAGATGCGAGTGATTGCAATTCCTGCCCCTCACAATATGCCACCCCCGCCTGAAAATATGGGTCCCTTCCAGCCGCCTCCACCTCCTCAGGCTCAAGAAGAAAACGAGGTACTTAACGTTTATAAAGTATCCATAAAATTTTAGGTTCTTTTTTCTACAATATTATTATATATCAATGTTTTATATGTATACTCGTATGTTATTATATATGTATATAATAAATGTGCGAAAAAATTGTAACGAGTTGATTTTTTTTTCGTTTTAAGTTATAGTATATACATTATACAATCATTTAATATTTTAAATAAAATACGTTTAATAACATTCTATTCAAACTTAGCTTACGATCCGTATATGTTATACCTTTCATATACGTATTTTTAATATTAGATTAATTAATTATTAATAATAATATTGAAGCTTCAATTAATGTCCAATAGAACGTTTTGAAACCTTTTTCATATGAATTTTATTATTTTATTTAAATAAAAGAACATACGTGCTTATTTTTGCACTTAGGTAGGTGGTTCATGAAACAGGATCTGCGAGTACCGTAAGAAATTAATTCGCTTGTCAATAATAGCTTTTGCACGGAGTCAAAAAACTCTGCTAAATAAAAAAAATAAACATTCCGTTACGTTTGCAGTGTATGGTTATTGTTAAAAAAATATTTTCCATATTGTATGTGAAAGTCTAAGTACGCATAAAATTTCACAATACATTATTTTTCTAACAAGTCGATTGTGTCTAACTATTCGATTGTTTCTATTTACATATGAATAAACAACAAGACTTGTGTAGGATTCACTGAAGCGTTTTCTCGTTAGAGGTTAAAGAACTGCGCTTATTAGCATACGAATGAGGTCAATATATTTTATTATTTCAACGCTCTGTTTAGTAATAAATAAACGTAATCCCATTAATAAGAATTTATACTATGTAGTATGTATTATAGGCAGCGTAATTTTGTATGTAAATGAAGAATAAAACAAGTGCAACTATGTTTTTAAGCATTACCGACTTACTCTTCTTTGGCTTACAATATAAAGATGGCTCTTTATATCATGTTCTGACTAAATTTGTTGTCGGTATTTAGACATAGTAAGTACAACTCAGAGATGCGATAAAAATCATAGAATAAATTAAAAAATATTTATATAAAGTCACCTTCATGTCCATATGACAGATTTAATTCGCCGATGCCATAGTGATATACTATTGTTTATAAGAATTTCATTAAAATGTAAACGTACAGAAGCGTTTCAGCAGCAAACATATATTTATTATTATTTTTTTGGTTTATTATTCATATGAAATAAAACAATAATGTTTTCAGCAACCCGCTGTTCTTCATCAGTTTGTTCCTCAATCTGCGCCCACACAAGAAATGGAGCAACCTGAAGTGAGTTGAAGCAATAAATATTTTTGTATATTCTATTAATTCGTATATTATATCAATCTAACAGCATCATGTAAACTTATTATTCTGAAATATAACTTATTACCTGCGATGTACCATGTGGCGCTGCCAGTCTTGGGTTCAAATCCCGGATCGCATTGGGTTTAAAATAGTGACTGGTTTTTTTGATACTAAATTCTCAGTAATCTCAGTGAGGTTTGCCGCTGTAACCGAAGTGTTTAGAAGGACATTATTATTATAAGAAGTGGAATGGTTTGTAGGTGCAAAAGATGCAGATGGAAGGCAGCCCAGTGCAGATGAATTTACCATGGGATTTGACTCCCGAAGACTTGCACATGATCCACCGCACTGCGCAAGAGGCTGTCGCGAACCAACGTCGTGAACAACAAATGGATAATGATATGCAAGAGGTAAATACCCGAAGAAACATTTTTTTTATCTGTTTGATTATATCCATTATTATAAGGAATGGTAAACTCGATCTATTAAATAATTGTTTTTGATGTGATATAAATAATGAAGTTAAATAATAGCACAATTAAGAAATAAAATATAAAAGAAAAAATAAAGACAGCAATACTTATTTAAATAAATAAATTACTTCTAATACAAGGGTAAGTTTCATGTGGCGAAAAACCGTTTCATATTATTTTGTATTACGTAATCAGGATTTATATTACCTACATGAGTCTGGTTTTGTTGCTAATTAATTATTATCTGATTGTAATTAGATTTCAGATCAAAATTTATTTTATACTGTTTAGCACCACACCAAACTTTAGCTCTCTACCGGTATCATGACATATTTGAAACATATTATTCATTTATTTGTATACAAATAATATGTGTACAACTAGCGACACGCCCTCGCTTTGCTCAGATTCGTCCCTAGGTACATTTTATTTTTTTGAGCGGATTGCTAATTCTTTTATTGAAATAAAAGTAGCCTAAGTTACATAATACTTTCTTAGATTTACGCGAATACTTGACATTTTAAATAAAACTATCTTTTCGGATTTTTTCGCGAATTTATTTTGATTTTTGGTTCCCCTAAGCCTAAGTTACTCCTTATAACATCGACTACCTGCCAGTGAAAGTCCCGTCAAAATCGGCCCAGCCGTTTCGTAGATTAGCCGGAACAAACACACAGACGGACAAAATTAAAAAAAAAGTGTTTTCATGCATTTAGTAAAAAGTTATTATGTAGACATTACAAACAGACACTTCAATTTTATTTATCTGTATAGATAACGATATCTACATTTGGTACTAAAGTAAGACGCAAGAAATGCTAGATTCTAAATGAATAAATTCTACCTAATGGTACCTATATTCTGAATAACTTTGTCGTTTATTGTCTAACTTTAAAACCTAACCTGAATAATTTAATTATATATCTTTCAGTTATGAAAGAATTTTTGATTATTTACTTTCAAACATGAGAAAATAAGGTACTATACATTATTTTTTTATTTGAAAGTAATTTTAACCATATAATGTACAACTGACTACACAAAATGAGTGGATCAATTTAGCTGTATTTTTTTGTGTATTTACGCGATGCCTTTGCTTGTGAGATGAATCGATTTTCATGATTTCTTTTAATGATTTCGTATACCTTTTAAGGATGAAATAAATCCTTTTAAGGATATTTAGAAGTATATTTGTGGATATTACAGGTAAAGACAATAGTAAACAGTCTGGCAGCCGCTGAGGCGGAGGCGGAGCGTGCACCGCGCGCGCCGCGCACGCTGCTGCTGCCGCAGGACGCGCCCGTCGACCAGCGCCCGCACTGTGAGTATCACTACTAAATTTAGGTTATTTTATCGTTTTACTTCAATTTAAAGCAATAAAACTTCAATATTTTAATATTATTGTGTTACTTCAATCGATCTCGATTTTTACTACCTAATTTAATTATTTCGGGGCTAAAATGATCTGTTACATGTATAATATGTATTTATCTATAGCTTAAAATTCATGATATATAATCATCAAAATCTGTTCAGTAGTTTTTATGACTTGGACTAAAACGTGTCACTAACACAAACATAGTTTTTATAATTACTACTCAATAATCAAAGGCTAATCATAGCTACATATATAACTATTTTATAATTTAATTGTATTTATAGGACAGGTCAAGTTATATTTAAATTCATATAATAACTCTCGAGTACATATTTTGAAATCGCAAATAAAGAGACGAAAACGTTGAATCCAGTTAACTTAAACTGAACGTGAAAGAAAATTTCTATGGTAAAAAATCTTTGGGTATTGTGCTTTCATGAGACGAGAGCTCTTGCTTACAAAGGAAAATATGCTATAATAACGTTTGCGATGCTTTCTTAATAGCTTATTAATAATACGACGTCGACAGTAACGTTTATAACAAAGAGCGTATCAATCTTCACTCAGAGGCGACATCATTTTTATATTAAGTCTGAATTTATATTATATATTATAGATTTTTTTTCATGTTAATGCTTAAAATTTTAGTGAGACACGGTAATATATCTGTAATATCTACATAGTTTGAATTAGTTTAAGTAAAAATATATTATCCAAACAAAATTGTTATTTTTTATATATTTAAAAGCTAAAATATCAATCGAGGTATATAATATGGAAAAATGTACAATCATATTTTTACAAGCACTTCATTAAATGTTCTTTATACTAGCATCACTTTTAACCGATTGGACCGATTTAGCTGATTTCGTTTTCGTTGTGTTCGTGATTGTCAGGACAAGGTTTGTATGAAAGATTTTTTGGAAATTTTTGGAAAATTCGGAAATTTGGATGGTACCTATTTTTGTATCCAACCATGCCATACCAATCTCAATACTCAAAGAATGTGTAAAGTCATTTCAGTTATCAAATTTTTAGTTACGTTAGAAAGCGGAAGAGTTTGGTTTCTTTTTTAGTAGGTAGTTTGAAATGCTAGCAAAACCTATATGTATATGGACAGTATCGAAATACCTTATATTTGATAAGATTTTATATTAAAATATGTTGTATAAAAAAGTCTTTATATGTGTAAGGTAGGCTTAGTCATTGATTTCACTTTCAGGCAAAACATCCATCAAAAAGTCAATTTAAAAAAAACAGATATATAAATATAATAGAATATAGGCGTATTACAGTCGCTAAGGAATAGAGAAATCTTCTCAAAAGAATCAGAAAGTGGATAAAAAACAAAAACAGTATTTAAACCTTCTCTGTTAGTTTTTTTAAATTTATTCTTTGTTTTATAATATATTTTTTAAATCTAATCATAAATACGTAATTGCTACAATTCATTTTAAAGTAAAAAAGAATTATTTTATGTTTCCTTTAGTTATGGCTTTTAACCGTGAATTAAAATTTTAAATTTAAAATTAGAATTTTTAAAATTAGAATTTGATGTTTTATAAATTCAGCGTAAAATTATGAATTATTGTTTTTTTTCTGTTATTTCGGTTATTTAATATATTTTGTATGTTATTTTTTGTTGTTGTTATTTGTTTAAAAAATTATGGAGCTTTACCTAGTGTGTGTCGCTATCCTCATTTAAATTCTTTGTTGTTCTAGTAGCTACTAATTAGTGAGACCATTAAGGGATTTAAGCGACAGAAATCACCGCTAGCTATAATAGTGTCTGTCGGATTTGTTTTTAGCCGTTTAGAACCTAAGCACACGACCACTTTTTAACGCGCTGTTAAAACCAACAAAAACGCGCGGTAGAGGCGATGCTCTCGAGAGGGTGTTACCTATGTAGAAAAGATTTACGTTCAAGAAATTGTTTGCAAATGCCATTTAATGCTTAGTAATAAAATATATAATAATTATAACAGGTAAAATATAAAATAATTTTACCTGTGTACTCGTAGATAACGCATAGACGGAATACGTCATTCTGCGCACATCTTCGACGTCGACGTTTTGATCTGAAATTTTGCATGGTTGCAACCTTGAGCCCTGAGAGAGAACTTTTTGTAATAAATATTATAAAAAAATTGCAAATTTTCGAAATTAATCTCTTCAGATTAAATTTTCTTGTTAATTAATGGCTTCAAAACGTGCAATTTTAGCACAGATTATTTCGCCAATGTCACGTAGAAGGTATTACCTCTTAATTTCAAAGTGCATTATTCAAATAGACTTTAAAATAATTAGAAACAATTAATTAAATGTCACTATAGTATTGTAATTATACGAATAGGCCTTTAAATATTAATACAAATCTTTTTTTTAGACATGCAACCTCGTTCGGTGCGCAGCGTAGATTCGCAGCTGACCCAAAAGCGCGTAAAGCGCTGTGCGTGCAGCTGCGCCTAGACGGCGCCACGCGTAGAAACGCGGCGCAAGCACAACAGCGCTGCAGCCTCCGTCCATCCACTTTTATTCACTTGTTTTTAGTACGGTTTCGGTTATTGTAAATAAAGCAATCCAATCACTACCCGTGCTGTTTATTTCGTATCATGTATTATATTGTTATAATTTAATTAATACCATTGTACATCCCTTCATAATCATAATAAAGCTACTTGCAATTAATGTAAGTTTATTTTTTAAGCATTTATGTTATCGACGCTCAGACATGTAAGTTTACGTACAATATTGTTTCGCTGGATTTTGTTTAAGCAAACCGAACTGTATTTATATTATATGTATGTAAATCCATCAGGTGTTATGGTCGTAACCTATCAATCATTATTATGAATTTTACCTACTTTTGTGATCCTACATTAAATTTTAATTAGTTTTAACTACATCTTGAGTTTTAATTTAATTCCTTGCGCTTAAAATAATCAAGTGATTACTTTTAATAATAAAAATTATGTATTATTAGATTATTTTTTTATTACTTTTTAAGTTTATGAAAATTAAAGTCATATCCATCACAATTCACAATCCCATAAGCCAGTTATAATAGCTATGTAAATACCTACGATAGTATTTTTATTATTATATTTAATGATATTGAGTACAAATTTACAATGCCCAGTGCATTGTTGTTTTAAAACTCTACTGCCTAACTTTAGGATAAAAATCAGTATAAATTATTACATTAAATTTTTTTTCCTGCTTTGTATGTAGGTAGGGTAGGGTTTTTAAAGTTCCTCCCTAACGTGCGTTCACCTTGTCGTGGTGGGGGGGTTCAGTAGTGCCCGGCAATCCAGCCGGGCGCAAAGCCAAGAAATGCACAGCGAGGTAGCCCACTTCGATGGGCGGTGGAAGGTGGCCCTCTTCGGAGGGCGGTGTACCATGCGGGTTGCTTCCTGTTACTTCTCTGATCGCAGAGTGGACCTTGGAGCAACCCCGTGGTTGTTGTGGTCTGCTTCGGCAGACCTGCCGTCGGGGCGTCGTAGTTGAATGCGTAAGCGATCCTGCGACGCCCCATTAAGACGGGGGAAGGCTTTGTTGGGTTTTAGTGGGTAGTACTGGCTTTGCCGGTGAGTCCCACAGCTCGTGCGTAAATGCATTTCCCAAAGTTAAAAAAAAGGGTTTTTAAAGTTATTTTAAGTTATTAGGTATGGATATTTTGAACTCTATTATTTTATAGTGCCATGCATAAATATTAATATTTATAAAAGTAAAAACAGTAATATACCGTAAACATGTACATAGACAACAGTTCTATCCTATACAGTCTATAACATATGTGTCTCCTGAATGAAATCCGGTCTAATGAAATCATTAAAGCAATTTACATGTTGTTTTCAAAATAAGAATGAAAAAATCGTGTCCTAATTAATTCCAAGCCAAGTCACTATAATCGAATTTCTGGAACTGCGAAAAATGGAACTGAGTTTTTTACTGCCTGTTCCACATGCAGGATATGTGTCACTTAGGAATCTCTGTTTCAATTTACCTTGTGAATTTTAAACCGATGGATGTATTCAGCCCTTTTTAACGTCCCATTGCTGGGCACGGACCTCCCTTCAGTACAAGGGGGATCAGGCCATAGTCCACCACGCTGGCCAAGTGCGGGTTGGCGGACTTCACATGTCTTTCGAAAACTTGCCAGGTTCTCTCAGACATGCAGGTTTCCTCACGATGTTTTCCTTCACCGTAAGGCAAGTGGTAATCATGTTAGAAATGATTCGCACGTGAAAATAACAGAGGTGCGAGACCCGGGACTTGAACCCGCTTCACTCGGTTTCCCAAGCGAGCGCGCTACCACTGGGCTACCACCGATGGATGCATTGAAGTATTTATAGAAGCTTAATCTTGTCACATATCCGATGGAAAAAATAAAAAAATAAATAAATATTCAGTTCAGACATTTTTATGAGTAAAACTTTATGAAAATATTGAAACGGAATACGTAAGATAATGGATACGTTTAAGCATTAAGTAATGCTGTTCGCTACATATTGATTTTTTTTGGGAAACGTCTAATAATGCATATCGAGTATTAATCGACTCTTACAGGAACATGGTTTGATTTATGGGGATTTAATCGTTATGAGTCGGATATATTTGAACTTTTAAGTGTTCTAATAAACTCCAACCACACAATGTACATACGTTGTAATTTAGTAGCTTGGGTTCGCGATATCATCTGACATGGTTTCTCAACATTACATCGTGATAATATAATGATACTACAGTATATCATAGCAATTGAGTACGAATCAATAATATTCTTCGTTAGGAAGCTAAAACGCATAATTTACTTAACAATCAATTCTGTTAAAATTTGCACCAACGCCACTTTTTACTTGTTCACCGTTCACCTAATAAATTTTTTTTACAAATTAATAAAAAAAACCGACAACATAAAAACTTACTTTTAAAACTAAAAAGATGAGAACAAGTTGATACAAAGGAACATAGTATTATGGATATTATTACATTTGGAATTTTATCTAACAGTTTCTTATTCCAAATTATTTTTAACATATAGTAAGTTGTATATATTTTGGCTATCGCCTCTTAAAAGCTTTTGCGTTGATAGGTTTGCCAGATTTTTTTAAAGACACATATCAACGCCTGAAATTGGCTATTTTAATTTTTTATATTCAAAAAAACATTAACCGTTTTTAAAAAAGAGGGATCCTCAAAATTGGAGTGCGTAGTTCTTGTGTGAGTATATGTATTATGTGACATTTTCATATACAGTAATACCCCGGACATACGCGATAGGTGGGACCGAGCGATGACCGTGTAAGTCGAATTCGCGTAAGTCGGGGTTCAACTTTGCATATAAATACATATAAAGTATGTTTAATCAGGACCAGAGTCTAAAGAAAACAGTAATTTAGAAGAAACATATTTAATAAAATGCTAGGCAATAGACGAATTTTCATTGTTATGAATAAAACTACGTAAACCGAAGATATTTTGATGTCGTTAAGTCGGAGTTAAGTTTTAATATCCGTTGACGTCCAGTCTGTTTTGATGTTTGATTCCGGTAGGTCAAATTTATTTGCCAATTCACAAATTTTTATTTTTGCTTTAAAGTCTTTGATAAAGTTCAGTTAATGCTCCAAAGAAAGTGTTTTTCTTTTCTTGTTAGGTTCAAATGACTCATTTTTCGTTCTTTTGGATGACATAATTAGAGGTTATCAATAAAACGCATTGCGTACGTAAAACAAATCCACGGGAACACTTTCGAACCTGTCGTAAACGGAACACTAACATGACGGAGCGGAAGAGCTGATGAGCGCGGCAATCAAAAACAAAAACCGCGTATCTCCGAATTCGCGTAAAACGGGGTAGCGTAAGTCGGGGTATTACTGTACTGCTAAATCTGTTGTGAAACCAGTGAACCGATTTCAATGATTCATTTTTAAGGTTTTTAAAGGGTTTATCACCAAATATATAGAATTTTCTATATATGTCACATCCATTTTACTCGAAGGCTATTAGAGCTATATTGCTGAGATTTTAAAGGTACGTGTTTTATATAAATCTAGATAGTATCGTAGTTAAATTACGAAAAATAAATAGGGCTGACACTCACACATGTAACTGTGGGATGAAAAAAAAATGTTTAAGTCCCTCCCCTTAAGAGGGTATTTCTGTATAGATCTTTAATATTTCTATTGATATCTCTATATAACCTTCAAGTCAATAGTTCAAAGTACATATTCTGCCAACCCTAGCAGGACGATGATATATTTTATAAATTTTATAAATGGATAAAAAAAGAAAAAAAACGAAAAAAAGAAAAAGAAAAAAAGAATGTAAAATATTTATCATGGTACGTTCTAACGCAAATAGAATCTACCTTAATAAAAGAGGTTATTGCAAGCCATCTCAGAAGTAAATTTATCGTGTATGTTGTGTACTCATATATTCCAAAGGTATTAATTTACAAAAAACAAACCGACTGCGTAAAAAGCGAACTAAAAAGACGAGAACAATTTGACAAAGAAATATATAAAATTGAAGAAATGCAGTCGGAGACGTATAATACACGTAGCAAGACTCGCAGCTAGTGTACAATATGTAGGTACATACATGTACATATGTATCCTTGCTTTAGGCTAATCTTGGTGACGATTTTAATTTTCAATATTGGTGATGATATAATCTCCTTCTTTTAATTTTCCTATAAATTAAAAAAATAATACAATAACCAACTCATTGAAGCTATTTCAAAGATCCTTAGCACGATATTTCTGTAGTATTTTATTAAAGAGTTGAGTATCTTGCAGATTCCAGGTGACGCTGCAGCATCCGGCCAAGATTACCATAACGTTGCACTGTTATTGAAGTAATGGGATACCCAGATTCCAATAGATTTGATCTGTGGAAGTTGCTTATATTTTTTTACCGTCGAGGAAAGACCTGATAGCTTGCAAATGGCTGAATGAATTTTATTGATTTATAGCTAAGAACTCTCGATTAGGTCACCTTTCAAACAAAAAAAAACTAAATTAAAATCGGTTCATTTGTTTGAGCACTACGATGCCACAGACAGACACACATATATACAGATATACAGGTTAAACTTATAACACCTCTCTTTTGCGTCGGGTGTTAAAAATAGATATGTATAATAACGAATAAATAGTATGAGTGTAATTCAAAGTCAAACAATTAGGTACTTATACATACACATGTAACTACAGACATTGCCTTGTTTTCTTAAAATAATAGTGTGAACGTGTAAAATAAAATATAATATTAGATTTTCTAGGTTAAGTATGTTAATGTTTATAAAAAAAAATTCGCGTACAAACGTAATACAGCAATAAATTAACAAGAAATCTGCCAAAAGTAAACTTATCTCTAGAAGAGATGTTTGTTTTTTGTAAAAGATTTTTTTCAATAAGTTCAGTAATTTAGAAACAGTAATTTTATTTAGTTATAAAAGCAAT